ATATGAACTTTTAAAGTGGAATCATATCAAAAGACTATTATAAATCTGTAATGGTATATAACTGCAAAGGGAAGATAGGAAGTTGGGTGGTAAAATGATCAGGTTTATCAGATAATTTCATTACAGCGCTATCAAGATAACTGGCATTTTGTCATTGAATTTAAGAACGCTGCAGTTCTCTCTCTAAGGAGAAAATAAGAAAGTTTTCCCTTGAATGCACTGGTATTTATATAGCAAGTGAGTAAGCCCTGCCTATTTGCATATGTGCATACACATATTGGTGTATACACATATAAATATATAGACGTATACGTTTGTTAGTTCTATGAAACACTGGCTCTAGCAATGCCAATATTTTGATTATATTTGTTTACACGAGATAAAATGCTTTCTTCTCTTGTGTCAGAAGGTAAGTAGATGACTAGACAGTATTAATGGGTGTGCAATGGACATGTGGGTGGATAGGAATATTCAATGAAGACCGTCTTTGTCTAGGCATTCTTGGGACAGCACTGACAGTTATTCCTTTGCCCGAGGCTTGGCTTCCATCAGATTTAACAATTCAGTTTCCGGGAAGACAGTGACAGGTGTCAATCTCAGACATTGTGTATACATACACAGACCGGCATCTCCTCCAATGTTCTGGAAGAGTGATCTCAGTCACTGTTCTTTTTAAGCAAAGGTGACAGATGCAATGAACTGAGTTCATTACTTGTTATTTCTTGCCTCCAAATTACCATTCACATGGTAAATGAACTATTCCTACCCAAAAGCTAACACAGGCTAGCCAGGCTCAAAAGTTTTGTTGGGGTAGTGAGAGGATGAAAAAACAAAAATCTAAATAGTTCCAAGAAAGACATATAGTGGATGCTTGCTTATGCAGACATTACTTATTTGGCATCCTATCTGAACGCAGCTAAGAGCTGAGAGGAAACCCTCATCAAAATGTTAGGAGGAAGTGAAGAGGCCTAACCTTGGCTGAAAATGTCTACTTTGGGTCAGGTGTTATGATAGGCTCTTTACATACATAAGCTCATTCATTCTGGGCAGGAACTCTATGAAGGGCTAATATTCTTTCCATTCTATATGTAGAAATTAAAGCCCAGAGAGGTTTAGTAAACATGCCAAGGTCATTCAGCTATTATGTGGAGACACCAGCATTGGAACCTACGTTTCTCCAAATCCAAAGCCCATGCTCTTCTTTTCCTTATACCAGATGGCCTTCCTGGAATCAAATCCACCTGCACCAGAACTTATGCACTTGACTCACATATAAACACTTGTAGATGCACACTCCAGGACTATTTACAAGCAATTCAAATTAGTCTGATTATTTGGCATCCTGTCTTCCTCAAATAAACTCCTGGGGAAGATGGTGAAGTGTGTAGAGGATCGAAAAGGAGAATGGAGATGAGGAGATGGCCAGGCATGTTGAGATCGGGGAGAGATGACAGCTGTGTCTCTATTCTAGCTTATACAGCTTAACATCACCCTGCAGAACTCACTGTATTATGTATAAGATTGATGTTTATAATGATTTTGTTCAGGGGCCTCAGTAGAAGAAGGCAGGAAAGCACACAATACTTGTAAAATAAGACTTCCATTAAGAATAGTTAAACTAAAATAAACGTTGGTGCTTGAATGGGGTTAATGAC